AACCCCCAGGTCCTGCTGCTGCACAGCCCGGGGCTTCAGGAGCAGAGCTGCAGGGCCTGGCGGTCAGGTGCTTCCCCGGGGCCATTCAGTCGTGTCAAGGCCCTGTGCTCTGAGCCTGGCCTTGTAAACACCTTTCTGGAAGAGAAGCTTAAATGTTTGAAATTGGGAAGTGAAATTTGTTACATCAGCTTATGATAGAAAAGATGCTTCATTTGGAGAAGGCTTTGCTTTCAAGATGTTCATCTAACTCACTCTGTGTTTTTTGTTGGTTTATCTTCGTGGTTCTGCATCATCTTGGGGAGTCACTTTGACTTTCCCTCGGTCTCTCCTTTGCTTCTTTCTCTTCCCTCCTGGGTTCTGCCAGAGGCCGCTGGGCGGAGCCCGGGGGTGAGTTAGACGTGTGCCCGGCGCGGTCAGAGTTCTGTGGCTGTGGATGGATGGACGGGTCAGCCCTGGGGTGTTGGCTGCCTTCTCCCCCTCAGAGCCCTGCACGGGGTGGGGGGGGGCAGGCAGAAGAGTGTTCCCCAAATGCCCTCGTGTCTGCTAGATTCCGTGTGGCGGCTCGGGCTTCACCACATGAGGGAAGGGGAGGAAACCCCAGGGAAACTCGTGCTTAGAGACATCCGTGTTGGAGGTGACACTGAGGGGGGGGTCCGTCCTGTGAGCCACATGGCTGCGCTCGCTGCCCGGGCCTCGGGGCGGGGGGAGAGGAGAGTGTGCGAGCCCAGCACCGCCTGCTGTGTGTGCGTGGTGAGAACCGTGTCCAGCGGGATCCCGGGGACCTCCGTTCCGTGTCTGGCCCGTCACCCCGGATAGCTTCGGGTCAGCTCTGCAATCGGCTTTGACCCAGAAGAGAAGGTAGAGCCTGGGTCTGCTCCTCACCGAGTGCCCGAGGGAGCTGAGGCCCCAGGGAGCCCGTCACGTGGGCCTGCGTGTCCTGGAAAGTCAGCAGCTCCTGGGGCAGCCCAGGGCACCGGCAGGAAGCGCCACAGTTCTGTTCCCCGTTCCCGACTCCACCGGCTGGGTGATGTTAGGCACAGACTCTCCGGGCCTGTTTATTAGATTTAAAATGATGGAAAGAACACGGCTCCTCTCTGCCTTTGATGGGTTTTGCTGAGGATCCAGTGAGCTGGTAACAACAGGATTGTCTTGCTTACAAAGGCACCTGCGGGGGCGGGGGTGATGGGGGCTCGTTCCCTCTTCTCACCCCCTGGGGTGCCGGCCCCGACACACCCCTTACTCTGGGCCGGGGATTCCCCACCCTGGACAAGCCTGTCTCCCCTTCAGGTCGCACATCCACGTGAGCACACAAACACATGCCCACACACGCACACATGCACACACAGGTGCA